GTAGCTAGGATTACAGGCGTGAGCCACCAGCGCCCGGCACTTGTTTGACTTTTTAAGCTAGTAAGTGTAAAGTTGAGTTGGTAAGTGTTTATATGTTAAACTTTACTAGTCTAATACTTTTTACTATAGTAACATGATAGTTTAAAAAAAAAGGTTTTCTACTCATTTGTCTATCATTTGTTAATTTTAAATTCTCCTCACCTTACTAATATCTGGCTTCCTTGGTAGTGATGGGAACATACATTCTAAGAAACATGAGTCAGTCCTATCTAGTCAAAGCATAGAGTGTAATTCAGTTCATACCTATAAATAGCCTTCTGGTCACCACTGCGTCTGGCAGTTATAGAGGGGTGTGACACCACACAGACCGGAGGAGCCGGGCCATGGAAGCGTGCAGCCCATTCGTGACCCTGCAGAGGCAGGATGGACCAAAAGTGGACCGTCTTCTGTTGTAAGTGCTAGTTCCTAATTAGGCTTTATGATATTGAAACTCAACTATCTTGGTAGGTTTTATCCACTTCTTTTGTTCTCAAACAGGGAAGCAAACTATGTCTTTGTAGGTTTTTTCCGAAAAGTATGAATGATAATATCAATGTGACAAAATGTTACCTACTCAAAGCATTTTCCTTAGCTCTCCTACTTTATTATGGTAAGATTGAAATCCCTCTGTATTTACCTAGGTTAGACATTTTGAGATTTTGTTACTTGTATTCCACATGCTTCAAAAAGTCTTTAGAGTCAGGCACTGGTGGCTCACATCTGTAATCCTAGCTACTTAAGGAGGCTGAGATCAGAGGATGGAGGTTTGAAGCCAGCTCAGACAGGAAAGTCCATGAGACTCTTACCTCCAATTAATCAAAAAAGAAGTGGCTCTGTGGCTCAACTAGTAGCAAAAAAACTCAGGGATAGCACTCAAGCCCCATACCAAAAAGAAAAAAAAGCCTCATATTGTTTAGAAACAGCTGTTCACACACTAGGAATGAGAGTTAGAAATGAAGTGGAATTGGAATATCATGGCTGGGCCATGCCTATGATACTTTCATTGGATCAAGAATGGAATCTTTTTTTTTTTGTTCGGTCGTAGGGCCTGAACTCTGGGCCTGGGCGCTGTCCCTCAGCTCTTGAGCTCAAGGCGAGTGCCTACCACTTGAGCCACAGCGCCACTTCTGGTTTTCTAGTGGTTTATTGGAGATAAGAGTCTCACAGACTTTCCTGCCTGGGCTGGCTTTGAACTGTGGTCCTCAGAAATCAGCCTCCTGAGTAGCTAGGATGACAGGCGTGAGCCACTGGCGCCTGACTAAGAATGGAATCTTACTTACGCACTGGTTTTTCCTGTGATTACGTATGCATTGGGGAAAGCCTGGGTACAGGAGGGATGGCGAGCATCTCACCGTTAGAACGTAGGTATCTAAAGCCAATAACAAAAAATACTGGAAGACTGGGGAGATGATGGGATTTGTAAAACTGTATTTTTCTGTTATTTTGATATAAATGAAGAACATTCTAATAAGGAGACACATGTGAAAAGTCTTAAAATCTTGGTTCTTTCATGCAAATTCCATTTGAGTTGTTCACTGGCTTCATTTTTTACAGCCGGACTTACCGGTCTGGTTTTCACTAGCATATTCTTCCCACGCATGTCTGATTTCTTCCGTCACTGCCACCCGTACCAGGTGGGCGGCCATCATAGGTGTCCACTGGGTTCTTTGGTTTCTGTTTTGTCAGATGGTCTTTTTTTTTCTATTAAGGGGGGAGGTTTTTGGAAAGATTTTGTTGGTTTATTCATACTGCTGGGAGAAACAGTAGCACACTTGTTTTTATAAGTTTGTCTCTGCATAGAGCCCAAATAGTTAATTAGCCCAGCGTGAACCATTGTGCTCGTTACTTTTTAAAGAGCTTTAAAAAATATCAGCTCATTTAATCTTCCCTACAGTGATGTGAAATAGATCTGTAAGATGAGACTTTGGTTTTTTAAGGAGGGCTAATAGGTACAATTACCTAAAGGGAATTTGGACTCATATGTTAAGAATCTTTGGGGATGTATGCCATTTCACTAGTAAATGTGTGTCGGTATTGATCTTAGAAACAGTTATACTATGCCTTGGGGATGAAGGCAGAGGCCTGCGGCCTTTAGTGACAGTGTTAGGATCTCTCCTGTCTTCTTGGCCAGGAGACAGCGGAGCACTGTTACATTCTCACGGGCTTTAGGGTAATAGTCACAATGTATTGAAGAAAAGAAAGCAAGCATAGGGATGTTATTATTGTAATTTGTTTGTTTTTTAAATTGTGTGTGTGTGTGTGTGTGTATTTTTATAGGAGGCAAGTCCTGGAAAGGGAGAGAGAGAAACAGAGAATCAAAATGATACAGCTGCCGGGCACAGGTGGCCCACTCCTGTAATCCTAGCTACTCAGGAGGCTGAGATCTGAGGATTGAGGTTCAAAGCCAGCCGGGGCGGGAAAGTCCATGAGACTCTTACCTCCAATAAACCACTAGAAAACTGGAAGTGGCCCTGTGGCTCAAGTGGTAGAGCGCTCGCCTTGAGCTGAAGAGCTGAGGGACAGCACCCAGGCCAGAGTTCAAGCCCCACGACCAACAAACAAACAAAAAGTTACGGCTGCTTTTTTTTTTTTTTTTTTTTGGTCGGTCGTGGGGCTTGAACTCTGGGCTTGGGCGCTATCCCTCAGCTCTTCAGCTCAAGGCGAGTGCTCTACCACTTGAGCTACAGCGCCACTTCCGGTTTTCTGGTGGTTTATTGGAGATAGGAGTCTCACAGTCTTTCTTGCCCGGGCTGGCTTTGAACCGCGATCCTCAGATCTCAGCCTCCTGAGTAGCTAGGATTACAGGCGTGAGCCACCAGCGCCCGGCTTATAGCTGCTTTTGATTCAGAATTTCTGTCTTCTTAAGTATGTTTTGGGAGTGGTTTTGTCTTCCTTTGTTTTATGGTGCTGGGAATTGAACTCAGGTCCTTGTAGTTAAAGCAAGTACTCTACCATTTCATCCACACTCCCAGCCCTTTTGTGTTTATGTTTCTATTTGAGACAGTCTGGAAGGTTCCTTTGTTTCCTGGGCCTAGCTTCCGGAAGGTGGTCTTCCTACTGCGGCGTTGTGGCTAGGACTGGCCGGGCTGCAGGCATGGCCCACCGTGCCTCCAAACCCTGGCTCCCTGCGGCGTGTTGCTTGAGTTCAGCGTTGTCCCTTCAGGGTACTTTCTGGAGGGAGCACTTATGTCTTGCACTGTTAAAATTTGGTTGTTACCTTTAGGAATGGTTTCAGTGGTTCTAATAATGACTTCCAGTCATTAAAGTGGTCTGTTCCATTATACGGAACGTTTGTTTGTTTCTAACACTTTATTCTTGGGAATAGAGAGCAAGGCTTCGTTGAGTGTGATGTGCTGCTGCACGGGCCAGTGTGGGGCTGATGGAAAGGCGTTGCACAGGCAGCCTTCCTTCCTGAGGAGAGCACGGGTGCCACGCGCCTTTGTGAGTATGGGTTCCTTTTTAGTAGGTGCATGTTTTTATTTTTTAATTTTTATTTCAGGCAACTGCAAGAACAGCAACGTCAGAAGGAGCTGGAGAGGGACAGGCTGGAGAGAGAAAGAATGGAGAGGGAAAGACTGGAGAGAGAGAGGCTGGAGAGAGAGAGGCTGGAGAGAGAGAGGCTGGAGAGAGAGAGGCTGGAGCAGCTGGAACGGGAGCGGCTGGAGCAGCTGGAGCAGCGGGAGCAGCTGGAATGGGAGCGCAGAGTGTCGAGTGCCGGTAAGGGAGCTCCGCTCAGCTGTGTGCTGGGTTGCCATGTGCGAGGTGCTCGGGCTCAGCAACACAGGCCACGATAGGAACGTGCAGCCATTACGTCCTCGAACCTCCTGGGAATATCTATCCTAGCACTCCAGGTCTTCCCACACCCCCATGGAGGAGGTGGAGGAGTGAGCCTGGGGGATATTTCCCTCATGAAAGTACCCGTCATCGCACATCCCACCTCAGTGTTGTGCAATAAGAAATTAGCTTGATAAGGTCTGAGGTGTTTGAAGGAGGAATTAAAGTAGTAGGTAAAAATACATTCCCAAATTTACTGGTTGCTTAAATATACTTTATAGTCTTCTGAAAAGCCAGTGAAAATAAAAATACATAATTGCACTTGTTAGAGGACATAAAGATTTGAGATGTGGCTGAAAGTTTGAGGCATTTAACATTCTCTAAAGAATTTGTATTCTTTGTTGCCTATATCAGAATCCTCAGTGTGAGTTCACTAAATATTAGTTGGTTGGTCTGTTATACTTCATTTGTTTTTAACTGCCTAATTGTCTTCTGGAAGAAGGCAAAACTTTCTCACAAATAAACATTTAATTAGAAAATCACTTGCCCTTTGTAGTGAACATTTTGCCAGTTTGGCTATTTGTTGTTGTTTCTTTAAACAACTAAGTTATTTTTCGTTGATGAGCTTTTGCACATATTTTTAATGTCTCTGTAATGGATGCAGTAATTAAAATTAAGACTGTCACTATCCTTATAAGAATAATTTATCTGCTTATTAGATTAAGATAAAATTTATTTCATCCTCTTCTAGATCTTAAAATGTGTGTATAGATTAAAAGTACTGCATGAAAGTGATTTGCACATGTGTCTAATTCTCTGCTACTAACTAGTCTACATTTATACATTTTGTCTGATTGCTGGTTCTGTGGCTTCACTAGCTCCCTTTTTCTCTCTCCTTTTTTATCGTCTTTTGCTGCTGCTTCCCACCTCTGTCCAGCTCCGTCTTCAGACAGCTCCCTGTATAGTGCTCCACTTCCTGAGTATTCCAGTTGCCAGCCTCCTTCAGCACCTCCTCCATCATACGCTAAAGTCATCTCTGCTCCGGTGTCGGAGGCCACTCCTGATTTCGCTGTAGTGACTGCTCTGCCTCCTACTTCCACACCCCCCACACCTCCACTGCGGCACTCAGCAACACGTTTCGCCACATCTCTAGGTTCAGCCTTCCACCCCGTCCTTCCCCATTACGCCACAGCACCGCGTCCCCTGAGCAAAACTTCTCGACCTTCTTCTCCTGTGAACACACCCCCTCCTCAGCCTCCAGCTTCGAAGCCCTGTGCCTGGTCTCCTTCCAGTTTCTCACCCCTCCCTCCATCTCCTCCAATAATGATTAGCAGTCCCCCTGGCAAAGCTACTGGTCCGAGGCCTGTCCTCCCTGTCTGTGTCTCTTCTCCTGTGCCCCAAATGCCTCCGTCGCCCACAGCACCGGAGGGGCTGCTGGACTCGGAGCCGTGCCCTGTGTCTCCACCGCCCGCCTCGGGGCCGGCAGTGCCGCCACCTGCCCTGGCATCTCTCCCACACTGCGGCCTGCAGGCCTCTCCTCCTCCGGGCCCTGCCCCCGCCCCCGCTCCCGCCTCCAAGCCCAGTGTTCTCCCTTCTCCCTCTGCAGCCACCCCTGCCTCTGTGGAGACCCCTGTAAACTCTGAGCTGGGAGACCCCTCTGCTGCAGAGCCAGGCTTGCAGGCAGCCTCTCAGCCGGCCGAGGCTCCAGCCCCGCAGGGTAAGGTTTCTTCATGGCGCCTGACAGTGGTCACAGCTGAGCTGCCGAGGAGACTGGGAGGAGGGTTGGACGTTTGTGTACCATAGAGCCATGTGGTTTCTAAAGTTAAAAGATGAAAGGTAAAAAGCAGCCATGTGAGTCCTGTTTGCTTGATTGCAGTTGAAGGGTGTCGTGTGGAAGTGGGTTTGAGAGTGTACTGCAGCATTCTAAACAGAGCTCTCCAGCTCCTGAAGGCACGGGGAAAACTGCTTGGCCCCATTGTGTGTCGTGTGTGTGTGTGTGTCGTGTGTGGTGTGAGTGTGTTCCTTTTTGGTTTTGTGCCCCAATACTGGGGCTTGAACTCATGGCGTGGGCGCTGTCCCTGAGCTTTGGTGCTCAAGGCTAGCGCTCTATCACTTGAGCCAAAGCTCTACTTCCAGCTTTTTCTGAGTAGTTTATTGATGGTAAGAGTCTCATGGGCTTTCCTGCCTGGGCTGGCTTTGAACTGCAATCCTTAGGTCTCACCTCCTGGATTAGCTAGGACAACAGGCCTGAGCCCATCATGAGGGCCTGGCCTGTGTTCCCGAAGGCTTTATCTTTGAGTGCTCCACGGTCCTCATCGTTGCCACCCTCGCCTTTCCCCTGGAGCCCTTCTGCTTTGGGGCCCTTCTCAGGCTGGGCCGTCGGTCCCGTCCCCAGCCCCCAGCCTGGCTATGCCCAGAAGGCGGAGGGAAGCGCAGTGGCATGCACTGCAGGTGTGCCCAGACCCCCAGCACACCGTACGCCGTGTGGCACTCGGGGAGAGGGCGTGGCCTCCACCTAGGCAGGCCGACAAGGACCTGGCTCCTTGAGAACGCGTTTGGTCACCGGTTTACATTCGTTCTTGAGAGCAGTGGGGTTTGAACTCCCGGCTCATGCCTCCTAGACAGGTGTTGTACCACCTGCACCTCACCTTCTTTCAGCCCTTGTTTTTTTAACTCCTTTGAAATGAAGTACGTTTTTGTCTAGGCCTGCCTGGACCCAAACCCTCCTGTCTGCAGGCTCTTGCCTCCCTGACTTGAGGTATGCACTACATTGCCCGACAGTGCCTGTGGAGCTGAGCACTGGCCCAGAGGCCGTGCTCCGGAGCTGCTGCACTGGGCTAGGGTTTTGTTGTTGTTGTTTGGTGTTAGGGTAAAGGAGGATGGCTGAGACCAAATGCGTGAATGTAAAGTGTGAAGTAATGACACGATGAATACTTTTGACATGCCAGTGCTTTAAAGTAGTCAGGTTCTTGGCAGTTTGTGTCCCTGTGGCAGTGCCAGGCATCCTGACACTCTCTGCTCTGTGTGCTGCTTGTGCAGCTGCCCAAGAAACTGCTGGGAGCCGTCAGCACCCTGTGTGCACACAGCACCCAGTCTCACCCATCCTCCACGTCCCCACGCGACCTGGGCAGGAAGGTGTTTGAGACTCTCAGACTCCGATTAACCACCAGAGAACCAGCCACAAGTGGCACTGTGGCTCATAATGTTAGAGTCTTGAGCAGCAAAGGTCAGAGACAGTACCTAAGTCCTGAGTTCAAGTCCTACAACCAACAAAATAAAAAGAAAGGAGTACTAATTTGGTGTTCACTTTCTGTGATTTTACAAGATTTAGACACGTTTCTTTTTATGCTCATATTTTGGTGCTGTTGCTGGTTCTTGAACACAGGTCCTTGTGCTGTCACTTGACTTTTTTGCTTCAGGTTGGCACTCTCACAGCCCTACTTCCGGCGTCTTGCTGGCTACTTGGACTTTTCTGCCTGGGCTCTAGTGCCAGCCTCCTGAGGGGCTAGGTTACAAGAATGAGCCACTAGGGCCCTGTTACATGGAGAGGTTAAATGTAGACTTATTTTAAGATCCTGAAGCCTAAGGCCCACTCCACCTCCATATTTTTAACCCAGGTACTTTGGTCATCTGTACATAATAAACATGCCTTCATCCTAGAATATATGGTCTCAGCCTCTTGCTTAGGGTCTGCTATTTCATGTAGCACTAGCTGTGCACCACGTATACTAGTTGGTGTGTGTGTGTGTGTGTGTGTGTGTGTGTGTGTGTGTTAAGGACTGCTTGCTTCTCATATTTTATAAGCATTTTAAAGATTATTTTCCAAATAATTGTGGTAAAACATTTAATTATATGATCTTTGTTTTGTATAGTTGTGTTATTAAAGGACTAACATTAAAATAGTTATATGTAATCTTAGTATCCTTTTTTCCTTGTTGTTATTATCTTTAAATAGTTGTACAAAGCAGTTGCCATTTAGCGAAGCGGTTTATGAATCTAGTAGACTTTAAGCATTACGACAGATTGCCCTCCATGTACTACTGAGTCAGCTTGATTTACTGTGGCAGTCTGTGTGCCTGCCTTTGTAAGCTCGTATCAGTCACTTAGCTGTTTCTGATGGCTTATGTCAACACTGCTTCTTCTCAGGTGTTATTTTGGGACCACCTGCACCTCCACCTCCTCCACCACTCCCACCAGGTCCAGCCCAGGCCTCTGGACTCCCTCCTCCCCCAGGACCGCCTCCTCCACCCCCACTGCCATCCTCTGGCCCTCCTCCCCCTCCACCCCCACCCCCTCTTCCTAATCAAGCCCCTCCCCCTCCTGTACCACCTCCTGCCCCTCCCCTTCCTGCATCTGGATTTTTTTCGGGATCCTTATCAGAAGACAATCGTCCTTTAACTGGACTTGCAGCTGCGATTGCTGGAGCCAAGCTTAGGAAAGTGTCACGGGTAAATACCTCTGCAGACGCGTGCATCCCTCCTGTGTGTGCCTGAGCCGTGTGAACACCTCTGCAGACACGTGTGCGCCTCCTGTGTGTGCCTGAGCCGTGTGAACACCTCTGCAGACGCGTGTGCGCCTCCTGTGTGTGCCTGAGCCGTGTGAACACCTCTGCAGATGCGTGTGCGCCTCCTGTGTGTGCCTGAGCCGTGTGAACACCTCTGCAGATGTGTGTGTGCCTGAGCCGTGTGAACACCTCTGCAGACGTGTGCACCTCCTGTGTGTGCCTGAGCCGTGTGAACACCTCTGCAGACGCGTGTGCTCCTCCTGTGTGTGCCTGAGCAGGGACTCTGCTTGAATTCTATGAACTCTGTGTTCTTTGCTTCATTGGTTACAACTTTAACTAAAATTTCAGAAAGGTTTCAAGAAGAGTATAAAGAATTTCTATGAACTCAGCATCTAGAGTCACCTTAATATTTTACCAATGTTTGCTTTTTCTTTTCTATGTGTATTTGCTTTTTCTTTTCTATGTGTATGTTTTCTTAAATACGCACAACTTTTTGTCTGAATGATTTGAGAGTTGGCCAAAAATATCATGCTCCTACTTCCCTAATTCTACCATGTATCTTTTCTAAGAATGTGTCTTTTCTAAGAATAAGGATATTCACCTGACTGACTACAGTATAATTAATTATTAGAGTTGGAAGAGTTAACATGGGCACAATCCTGTAACTCACAACTCTGTTGTCCAGTAATACAGCTTTCTTTTTCTAGTCTAAGGTCACGGGTCACATTTAGCGGTCATGTCTTGTTAGTCTACTTTAACCTGTGAAAGATTCTCAGCCTTTCATGATTTTGATGTTTTTGAGGAGTGTCATGACAGATTGTTCTTTAGTTTAGCTTGTCTGATTTTTTTTCTTCAAGATTAGATTCAAATTGTATTTTGGAGTACCTAGGTATCTATGGAGTAACATAGATTTGTGTCTTTCTCAGTGTAACATGTATGACCTAAATGTGTATACCATCCCATTATTGGTAATGTTAGATTTGACACCACCTTGTGATAGAGAGCTTTACTCTCCACTCGGTGGCTAAATGACCATATTTGAGGAAGTTGCTGTCTGTGTCCTCACTCAGGTGGAAGATGCCTCTTTGCCGGGCGGAGGGACAGCCACTGGTGTGAACCCCGCCTCAGCTAAAACAGACTTGGGTCGTGGGAATGGACCCGTTCCCTTGGCAGGTAGCGGCTTAATGGAGGAAATGAGCGCGCTGCTGGCCAGGAGGTGAGAGGTTGTTCCCAGGGACATGCCCAGAACTGAGCGGAGCTTGCTAACATCCACCCTGCATACAACTTCAGCTTGGATGAACTTCTGAGAGAAGTTCTTATATCAAGATAACCAGCTGTTTTGGGGGGTTATTTTTGTTTTAGATGGGTTTTGCTGTTGTTTCGTTTTTGGTCATGGGGTTTGAACTCGGGGCGTAGGCCCTGTCCCTGAGTTTTTTGTGCTCAAGGCTAGTGCCCTGCCACTTGAGCCACAGCTCTACTTCCCGCCTTTTGGTGATTAATTGGAGGTAAGAATCTCATGATTTTGCTGGCTAAGCTGGCTTTGAACCATGATCCTCACATCTCAGCCTCCTGAGTGCCTGGGATTTATAGGCGTGAGCCACCAGTGCCCAGTCTGAGATAATTATTTTTAAAAATAGAATTTGCCTTCTTTCTAGGAGAAGAATTGCTGAAAAGGGATCAACAATAGAAGCAGAAAATGTAAGTGAATAAAGATGGTCTCCTGCCCTACTCAGAAAACCACACAAAAGACAAGATTTCATTTGGACTCAGTTTGAACTGGCGTTTGCTTGTTTTTAACTATTCAGATATTTAAAATTGCTTGTTTGAGTGATGTACATGAAATTTCAGTGGTGTTCTTATAAAATGACTTGAATGTGTGAGAATGTGGGAAAAGCTTTTTTCCCCTTCCCCTGTCCTCCTAAGTAACTCTCTAGTTAGATTCATATTCTGCATTTATCCATATATACAGTGATGTAGATGGTTATGTGTATATGTCCATGAATATGTATTATCTTTAAGTCTAGCTTCCACATATGAGTGAAAATATGTATATTATATCTCCAGTTGGATATGTTTTCCTGCAAATGACATGATTTTGTTTTGCTACGTAGTATTCCTGTGTGTGCGGTGTGCACACGCATGCATGTGTGTCTGTTGTTGGGCACGTTGGCTGATTCCATCAATGGCTATAGGCACAATTATATGCAGACACCTTTCTGGAGTGTTTTTTTCCTCCTTCAGATATGTGCCCAGTAGTAGTATGATGGGCTATAGAGAAGTCAGCGACCACTTTTAGTCTTTGGAGCACCCTCCATCCTGTAAATGGATAGTGTTTGAATTTCCCCCGTGGAGCCTGGCAGACTGCTTTGCCCGTTCTATACACGGGTGGTCAACATATGACATAGTGTTTCTCCCTGCCATTTGGCTGCCTCCTCCTGCCTCTTACCTGGCTTTGCAGCGTGGTCGGGAACAGAGTCTTGGGGAGGGTAGTGGGATGGTGAGAGAAGGAAGCGGTCACAGCTGGTTGGCATGCAAGGGAGAGGGGCAGGTGAAGGGAGGAGGGACGGAGAAACGCCGTGTGTGCACAGTGGCGGTTTTCCAGTGGCTATGAGACTTACACATGTGTTTCTGTGTATTTAGGAAGAGTCAGAACCTGTAACTTCTAAGGTCTCATCAACAAGTACACCTGGTAAGTTCAGGAGGGTATAATGCTGTACAACCTTTCCTGAAATGTTAACACTGTACAATTAAAACATGGTCCTGTGTTTGGACCAAGTGACTGTTTGATCACAAAAATAAGAGTGCTCTTTGTTGACATGGATAGTCTCTGCTGTAGTAACCAAAAGCTGCCATTGCTCTCTTCCTGGCACTCTTAAGAGCTGGTAAAATTCAGCAATTTTTCCCATGGCTCTCTTGGGGGGAAAAATGTTTTTTACATATGCTATGTATATGGTTGATGATTTAAAATTGCTCAGTAAAAGAAGGGACATTACATTATTAGATAAGAGAGATACTTTTCATCTGAAAGGTAAAAAGTAGATAATCACTGCAGTCTTTCAAGGCATTCTCAGATTAAAAAGGTTGACAGTGCCGGGCACTGGCAGCTCACGCCTGTAATCCTGGCTACTTAGGAGGCTGAGATCTGAGCCCACCCAGACACAAATCTGAAAAACTCTTACCTCCAATTAACTAGTAAAGAGCCAGAATTGAAGTTGTAGGTCACGTGGTAGAATACCAGTTATGAATGAAAAAGTTGACAAAAGAGCTTAAGGCCTGAGTTCAAGCACCAGAACCAGAAGAAAAAAAGTATATTACCATTTTATTTATCATTCATCTTGGCTGATGTTGCTGGTCAGCTAAGGAAATTGTGCGTCTTACGTTTAAATTGAAATTAAGTTTAAAAACTTGGGAAAACATTGAATAAAGTTTCTGACATAAGGACTCTTGGATATAAAATACATTTTTAACAAAATGTTTTATTTGATGTGTTTATTTGAAGTGTTTGCTCCAAAATAGGAGTACATAGCCACAGTGTATTTTTAGGCCTGTCTTCATAGTGCTTAAGAAGTTGGGCCGTCTGTTTTCATTCTGATCTATTTTGGAATGAAGTGACAGAGATCAATGTGAAGAATGAATATCCAGAATAGCTCATAGGAACCATTATAGGGAGTGATCTGTCTTGCTACCTGCATATTTGATTTAGAGGCTACTAACCACCGCTAGTATTTCTACATAATGGCATGAGCCACTAGTGCTTGACCTATATCTGGGTTTGTTTTTGTTGTTGTTGTTGTTTTGGTTTTTTGGTTTTTGTCGGTCATGGAGCTTGAACTCAGGTCCTGGGCACTGCTGCTAAGCATTTTTGCTCAAGGCTAGTACTCTACAACATAGCCACAGATCTGCCTCTGGCTTTTTGGTTGTCTCACAGACGTTCCTGCCCTGCTGGCTTCAAGCCCTGGCCCCCAAACCTCAGCCTCTCAAGCTAAGGCACTGACGCCCTGCTAGCTTTATCCTTTTGAGCCAAAATCTGTTATCTATATTAAGCTGGGCACTGGAGGCTCGTGTCAATCATTCTAAATACTCAGAAAGCTGAGGTATAAAAGTTGAGGTTTAGAGCCAGTATGGACAGACAAATCCTTGGAACTTTTACCCTTTAAACACACCCAAGTAAGTTCCATTATTAGCAATACCCCCCCCCCCAAAGAACAACCCCAAACAACTGTTACAGATACTTTAAAACTGCCCTGTGCTTGAGGACAACAAAACCTTTAGAATATGGTCACAGTCATAAAGTCTCTCCCCAGAAGAGAGTCATTTTTATCCAGGTCATACAGATCTGTTCATGACCTACTGCCTCTAAACTCCCAGATGGGCACCCGTGATCTCCACATTGTCTTTATAAAAAAAAAAGAAGAGTATCTTGTCTGGTGCAGCTCTCCCTGTTTTACGTGTGCAAAGCTAAAGCGTGAGCTTGTGTTGAGCATGTCCCTGTGTGTCACACATGTAAAATGGCGTCATTCAGAAGTGCTATGATGCCTTTTTCTACTTGTTTCGTTCAAGTTTTTTCAATAGGCAAAACGAATGATGAAGACCTTGACCCCACAGTCCAGTTGACGATGTGAGGCATGCACAAGGGGGAGTTAACCTTTACGACCCCGTGTTGAATCTAAAAACTCAGAGAGGGCACTTATATATGGGGTCATCTCTGTAGAAAAAACGGCATTTTACTTTGCACGTCAAGTGGATTAATAAGCCCTTGAGACAAAGGTGAGGCACGTCAGAAGGTTAGAAAAGTAATCAATAGACTCAGCTGCCTGGAATGGTCAGTCCTACTGGGGTATTGGGAAGGTGAGTTAGAACTGTGAAACATTCAGGTGTTGAGGTGACGTGTAGTCAGCGGGGCAGAAACGTGTGGGAGGATGTTCCTAGGCCGGGCGGGGCTCAGCCCCGCCGCAGCACTTCTGAGGTACACGCTGCTCCGTGGTCTTCCGCGCCCGCACTGAGCCAGCCTGTGGGGCTGAGGGCCAGTCTAGCTTGCCCTTGGACAAGGTTGCTTTGTCGTAACCACTCTGGACCTTCCACCTGCCCCTCTCTGATACATTGTCTGATGGATGGTGCTTCTCCCTCCCCACTGCTGGCAGCAGGTCTTTCATCTTCACGCCTGCCTAGCTGCTTGCTGTGTTGAATGTGTTTCTGACTTGCCCATCCTAAATGCCCTCTGATTATCTGATGTTCTGGAACTTGCCAGCCCGGGGGGAGGGTCAGTGAGAGAAAGTGTTATATGTGGGAGGAATAAAAAATAGTGAAAAAAGGAAGGAACTCTTGAAATGATGAGGAAAAAAGCAAGACAAGCTGTCTTACGTAGACACCTGCATGCAACAGAAATTCTGTACCAAAAAGAGCTTTGTAGGAGACTTAGTTTTGAATCTGTGCATTTAAAAGAGACTCAAGCTTGTAAGTAGCAATGTGCAGAAGCCAGTTAGAGGCCATCTCAGAAGCAAGAGCTCAGATTCTTGGTGAGAACGACTCAGTGGAGCCTGGTGCTGGTGGCTCACTTCTGTAATCCTCCAGATCTGAGGATCCCACTTTGAAAGTAACCAAGTGGAGAAGCGCCTGAGACGCTTATTGCTAATTAGAGTGTGGAGCTATGGCTCAAGTGATAGAATCACTAGCCTTGAAGAAAAAAGGTCAGGGACAGCACCCAGGCCCTGAGTTTAGGACTCAGCACTAGAAAGAAAAAAACAGCAAAATCACAGCCCATATATATGTTTATTTCCATTGGCCCAAATGCTTTTCATCAAGACGAGATTCCACTCACAGTTTCCCGCAGTCCTGCAGTGAAGGCCAGCAACCACACCGGTGAGTTGGCCACCCCAGCCAGCTGGCCAGCCACCAGCCTCTTTGTGACAGGGCTTGGAATTGTCTGCCAGATCCTAAGAATTGATTCAGAATGACATGATTCTGTAATCTGTTTTGAGATGTTTAAAGAAATTTTTTCTTGGCTTTAGATGAAGTGTTGAAGTACACAGACATATTACACTTTTTACTTGCTTACCATTTAATGCTAAGTGGTAAACAAAAAGTATCTACTCAAAATAGGCCTAATTAAAATAGTTCTTCCCCCTCCTCCCTCCTTTCTCTTGTGCTAGCTTGAACTCAGAAATCTGAGTGCTGTCCCTTAGCTTTTTCATTCAAAGCTGCATTGGATCACCTGAGCCATAGCTCCACTTATAGCTTTTTGGTGATTAATTGGAGTTAAGAGGCTCACAGACTTTCCTACTGAGACTGGCCTTGAACTGAGAACCTCAGATCTCAGCCTCATGAGTCATTACAATTGCATTGATGCCTAGAAATAGGTTCTTGTGTGTGCTGCTCCTGGGGTTTGAACTCAGGGCCTGGGTGCTGTCCCTGAGCTTTTTCACTCAAAGCTCAAAGTGTTTGTTGCTTTGTTGTTGGCTTGTAGGTTTTTTGTCAGTCGTGAGCTTGAACTCAGGGCCTAAATGCTGTCCCTGAGCTTTTTTGTCAAGGCTAGTGCCCTACAGTGCAGTGCCACTTTGGATTTTCTAGTGGTTAATTGGAGATTAGAAGAGTCTCATGGACTTTCCTGCCTGTGGCTGGCTTTGAACTGCAATCCTCAAATGTCAGCCTCCTGAGTAGCTAGGATGACAAGTGTGAGCCACTGGCACCTGGCAAGGCTGGTGCTCTTACCACTCGAGTCACAGCTTCACTGAGATTCTTGAGGATTTGTTTGCCTGGCTGGCTTTTTCTGCGTATGTGGTGCTGAGGAATCGAGCCCAGGGCCTCATGCATGCAAAGCAAGCGCTCTACCACGGAGCCACCTTCCCAGCCCTGTAAGGGCATTTTTAAGAAAATTTATATGTTTGCTTATTCTTATTTTAAGAACTGAAATTATAGAAATTAGAATGGTGTTTAGGATTTAAATTTGAATGTTCTTATCTGTATTACTATACAAAGGGATATGATTATTTCAGTATTTCATTGTTTGTTTTACAGTGATTTTTAGGACAATACTGATACTTAATAAATTTGTCTCTCATTTTTAAAGAACCAACCAGGAAACCTTGGGAAAGAACAAATGCAATGAACGGCAGCAAGTCACCCGTCATCTCCAGGTACCAAAATACATGCAGATGGTTTAAATCAAATATATATGGAGATACACACACACATATATATATAAACCAATGCATTTTGGCATATAGGAATAATGAAGTTGTAAAGTGGGAGTTATGCAGGGAGAACACAAAGCACCCTCATCCTGCTATTCCTTGATAGCTATTGAGTCAATTACTGTTTTTGTTGTTGTTGTTGTTGGTCGTGGGGCTTGACCTCTGGGCTTGGGTGCTGTCCCTGAGCTCTTCAGCTCAAGGCAAGTGCTCTACCACTTGAGCCACAGTGCCACTTCAAGTTTTCTGGTAGGTTATTGGAGATAAGATTCTCATGGATTTTCCTGATCCAGCTGGCTTTGAACCATGGTCCTCAGATCTCAGCCTCATGAGTAGCTAGGATTACAGGCGTGAGACACCAGTGCCAATTACATTTTTACTAAAAATTAAGATAGCTTTACTTACTTAAAGACTTTTGGTTTCTTTGGCTAGACCTGGGGCTTAAACTCTAGGCCTGGGCCCTGTCCCTGAGCTTCTTTTCCTCAAGGCTAGCGCTCTACCACTTGAGCCACAGCGCCACTTCTGGCTTTTTCTGTTTATGTGGTACCGAGCAATCAAACCCAGGGCTTCCTGCAGGCTAGGCAAGCACTCTACCACTAAGCCACATCCCCAGCCCACTTAAAATATTCTTTTATTACCATATATTAGTTGTATGGAGGGGGGCTTTATTGTGACATTTGCATATATACATACAATTTCATGTTTTATGTCCCTCTCCCTTCCCTCACCTCACTTCTAAAACAGTTCCAGCAAGTTTCATTGTTCTGTTTGCATATATGAAAACCAAGTACTACAACCGTATTTATCATCGTTTACTATCTCTGTTTTCCTCTCCCTTTTTTTCTACCATATTACCCAGAAACCCAACAGAGCCTGTTTTGCTTTCTTGTTATTTCTTTGTCTTCTGAGGTGCTTTTTGGGTGTATATAAATAATACCAAAGGGTTTTGCCATGCACTGCAGACATTTTATGTTTATATTTTAATCAGAATGGCCTCTCCTGACCCCAGCCCTGCCTTACGTCACCGTCATACGCAGCTCTTTCCCCTCCCCCTTACCCTACCGCAGTCATCTCCACGGGAACTCACACACAGTGAAAGTTACATACTTGTACACATCTATGAGTACGGGATGAGTACAGTTTTCTGGGGCTCAGTGGTAGAGAGCTCACCTAGCACACATGAGGCCCTGGTTTGATTCCTCAGCACCACATACACAGAACAAGCCGGAAGCGGCGCTGTGGCTCAAGTGGGGTAGAGCGCCAGCCTTGAGCAGAAGAAGCTTAGGGACAGCGACCAGGCCCTGAGTTCAAGACCCAGGCTGGCAAAAAAAAAATAATAAATACACATACACACACAATTTTCTGTTGCTAACCATGGGAGTGGAGCTATGGCTCAAAGTGGTAGAGCACTAGCTTGAAGCAAAAGAGCTCAGAGACAGTGCCTAGACCCTGAGTTCAACCTCCATGACCAACAGAAAGAAAAACACTTGCTAACTATAATCAAGTTAGGAAAGATGGTGGCCAGAAACAAACCTTGTTAGGTAGGTTTGATTAGGTAGCTGATGAAGAGAGCAGCCACGTGCTAGTCAGGCAGGAAAAGAAGTTTATTTACCGAACTGCCGCCCCCTGTCCCCTCCCCCCGCCCCCCCCACCATGCATGGCGGAGAAAGATGGCCAAAAAGGAAGGCCCACATCGGGCTTAGGCCAGGGGGAGGAAGAGATGTGGCCGGGGGGGGGCGGGGGGGGGATTGTGGCCACGCTGGATTGGGTATGACCTCAGGGCCTGGACACTCGTAAGGTCAGATGGGAGGGGTGACCAGAGCCCGCCCAGGCTGTGACCTGGCAGGAGGGGAAGGTCTGCCAGTTACCTACCTAACGATTCTGGGTGGAGACTTATCCAGGAGGTGGGAGGGGTCCTGGCAGACCTTAGAGTAGGCAGGGTCAGGGCCCCAGTACTAAGCACGCATCATCATCACGACCACATTGTCATTACATGTTCAACTTTTGTCGGTGAGAGATCCTAAAAAGCGTTTTCACAGTGGAAATTTTGAGGTATATATTTAGAGAATTAAGATAGTTTTCTTAGTTTTTCCTTCTGTAAAGCACACTTGACTGTATTATAGAAAATTAATATAGAAGTGTACTTATTGTGCATTAGACTAAAAAAATTGGATCTGGCCTCTTTGGCAAAGACCTGGTGGAGACACAGTTGTTCAAGCTTTCTTTGTATTATTTAATACATAAAAGCTGCTAGTTTCTTTACGACCCAGAGATAGTCATAGTTGACTGTAAAAGAGAACTTTTTTGGGTGGACATTTTCTCCATAGGGCAGGAAAATTGTGTATCTCTATTTCTCAGATGCCTAGTGAAGGTGACCCGGAAACTTTTCTTTAGTAGTGCACTATCAAGGCTGATGTAGCTAACAGGAAAGCGATGGAGCAGAGCTCCGGCGCACACTGATGTGCACGTGCCTGTTGAAGCCGAGTTGTGACAGTTGCGCCCCGCGCCCTGCTTCTCTAGGGTAGTTACAAAGAGAGCTGCCTGGCGCCAGACTCCAGCCACACTGGGCTGCGCGTGGGAGGCGCCCCTTAGTTTGCCTGACCATACTTAAAGGAAAAAATAGTTCTCCAGAATACTCTGTTCAGCCTTCTAAAAAGGAGGAAGTTTAATTTGAAGTGCTGAGAAGGTTGCCGGTCTGAAAGGACTCACACACAGGAGCTGACTCTTAGCAGTTACCTTCAGATCTGGTAGGCGGAGCTTCCAGGAAGTGCTGAAGTACCAGTGCATTTCCTGACCACTCAGAGACCTTCGGAGGTGAAATTGATTTAACCAGATAAGACTTAACAGTTTCTTAAAAAGTCTTAACAAGTATGTTGCAGATCTTGTTCTAAGTCACTGCCTCTGTTCCTTCTGAAGGCAAGTACATCAGTGGTTCTATGGTTTGATCGTGCCGTAGCATTGCTTTGGATCCTCTGTATGGAGGTGGTTTGGTTGCCCTCTGCTGCGCACAGGATGCCATGTTACATGTGAAGTCCTGTCAGACAGAAAAGGGCCTTGGTGGTGCACTTGAGAGACGGAGATTGGGAGGATCATGGTTCAAGGCCAACTTGGGTAAAAAGGTGGTGGGGCCCCATCTTCAGTCAGGAAACTGGGCCTGTAGCTCCTGTGGTGGAGAACTGCAGCAGACCAGCGCAGGCAAAAACAACATGCCCTTTCTGAGAAGTAACTAAAACCACAGAGGTCTGGAGGCCTGCCTCACACAGACAGAACATCTCACTCGCAGGTACAAACCCCACCAAATAATAATAATAATAAGGTTGAAGTCTCGACATTTTAAGACCCAGCTAGAATGCAGTATTGGAAAGTGTTTGGGTTTTTCCAGTAAAAGGTTACTCCTGTTCACCATTGGGGAAAGGCTGTTCATGAGCCTGAGGATGGTGAGTTTGTGCACGTGAGGCTGCAGTGGTGTTTAGTCTCTGGTGACTGTAGCAGACTGAGAAGGCAGGCAGGTTCCCACCTGCCGCAGGAGCTGCTTCCTGACGGGCCGTGAATGGTTTCCCCGTGGTGTGCTCTGTGAGTGGGTCCTCCTCTAGAACTCCACCTTGGTCTCAAGGTAGCTTCTTCGTTTATGGTGTAAAATCAGTATTTAAGACGGATGGGCTCCTTTCATTCTTACTATGTTTGCTATAACTATAAAGTCTGTAACACAGTAACATGAGAATGACTATTTTAAGTTCTGATGTAAACCCCTTTAAATGGTTTTTCCCCTTCGTAGACGGGATTCTCCAAGGAAAAATCAGATTGTTTTTGACAACAGGTCCTATGAGCCATTATACAGGTATCATCCTGCTGTGGCCTTGTGGTTGGAGACAGGACAGGGCCGAGCTTTTTCTACCTGGATTGGTACTCACCACAAGAGAGCATTAGGAGCATTGAGATTTTCAGTGTTCGCTTTATTTTTAACACTTACATGCTATCACCAATTGTTTATTACAATCCATGTAAATGGAAAACAGAATGGTCAGTAGTTTGTCTAGGCTGTTTGTAGCTTTAAATTCAGCTTTCTTTGTACCGTGAGACAAGATTGTAAAAAGTGGAGTGGAAGAGCGCAGGCTGGTTCTGCAGGCCACAGGACGTGGGGAGGCCCGTTGCTGCCGGCGTTCCTTGGGGACACCTGAGTTCTCTGTGTCCTAGGTGCTTTCTAGTCAAGTGTCTTGCATTCTAGTAGCTAACACTTGGTATGAATCATCTGTTGCTTAATTAAAAGAAGTTGACAATTTTAAAAGTCTCCAAATAGTTCTCAGCTATTTGTAGAAATTACTTGGCAGAATAGGAACTTAAACATTGTAGTAGTACAGTTATAAGCAAGTGTCTAGAGGCAACACTCTTAAAGTAACAAAAACCTCTGATAAACTGGTATTTTGTTACCAGTTGTGTTGAAACCCATAGATTCAAAACTGAGAAAGCCAGATGTGGTTGTTGACACCTGTAATCCCAGGGCCTGGGAGGAAGAAGCAGGGAGATGGAGAGTTCAAGGCCCTCCTGGGCTACCTTGGTAGCTGGATGGTAAAATACATTTCAACCCTACTGAAAACATAAATTAAATAGTATACAGAGGCCGGAAGTGATTCTTCAGTGACGGGACTGGTAAAACCTTTTACATGCTAAAGCTATTTTCATGTCATTAATTAACAAAATACCTGACAGGTTTATTTTATCAGCTAAATAAATCTCCACAAAATGCTTATATTGCAAAAGCATTTCTGAGGTGGATTAACTGTTCTGAACAAAAGATTACGAAAATTTGTTAGAACATAGAAAAAAAGTATTTGACCATGAGATCTTTCTGTTTTCACACATCACACACCAGGATGAGGTTGCTGAAAAAACCTTTAAAAAATTAATAAAGTGGTGACTACATCTTTCCTTCAGTATGAAAAGTTCCCCTTGAGTTAACTCTCACGGTGGTGGTGGTGGTGGATTGCATGTTAGCATGAAATAATTTTTTAAAAATTGCATGTTTCCACAATTGTTTATTACATGACACTCTTTAGTGAATGTGAATACATCTATAGTATACTGCCCAGTTATGTGGCCCCTTGAAGCTGTGCATTCTGGGGAGCAGGGATAGATAAGAGCGGATGAAAAGTGTCTGCACCCCAACCCCAGGACACGTGGGTCTCAGCAGAGGGAGAGGGGCGTCCCGTGAGCCCCGGCACCCAGCAGAGGAAGAGGGGTGTCCCGTGAGCCCCGGCACCCAGCAGAGGGAGAGGGGCGTCCCGTGAGCCCCGGCACCCAGCAGAGGGAGAGGGGCGTCCCGTGAGCCCCGGCACCCAGCAGAGGGAGAGGGGCGTCCCGTGAGCCCCGGCACCCAGCAGAGGGAGAGGGGCGCCCCGTGAGCCCCGTGGGTCCTGAACTCTGGGCTGGGCGCTGTCCCTCAGCTCTTCAGCTCAAGGCTAGCGCCTTACTACTTGAGCCACAGTGCCACTCTTGGCCTTTTTCTGTGTATGTGGTACTGAGGAATTGAACCCAGGGCCTCATGCATGCAAGGCAAGCAATCGACCACTGAGCCACTTTCCCAGCCCCTCATGATAAACTTTTTTTTGGGGGGTCCGGTCGTGGGGCCTGAACTCTGGGCCTGGGTGCTGTCCCTCAGCTCTTCAGCTCAAGGCTAGCGCTCTACCACTTGAGCCATAGCGCCACTTCCGGCTTTTTTCTTTTTGCTTATGTGGTGCTGAGGAATCGAACCCAGGGCTTTGAGCATGCAAGGCAAGCGCTCTACCACTGAGCCACCTTCCCAGCCCCCCTCATGATAAACTTTTAACCAATGATGTCTTTCACTACTAAAGCAGATTAGTTCAGTATTCCACGGCTTCATGAATAATGTGTATGGGTTTTTGAGGTGCTGTGTCTTACATGATTTATAAAATACAACTTAACAAAAGCTATATGTGGGCTGGGAATGTGGCTTGGTGGCAGAGTGCTTGCCTAGCATGCATGAAGCCCTGGGTTCAATTCCTCAGTACCACATACACAGAAAAAGGCCAGGAGTGGCACTGTGGCTCAAGTGGTACAGCGCTAGCCTTGAGCAAGAAAAGCTCAGGGACAGTGCCCAGGCCCTGAGTTCAAGCCCCAGGACTACCCCTCTCCCTCCCCCCAAAAAAGTATGCCTACTGGGTTTTGATTCACATTTCTAATAGTGGTAAAATAAGAGCTTTGACTAATGTTTTCAAACAGCCCTGACTTGTAGACCTTAAAGAGTAGTCACCTTCTACTGTGCTTAGCTAGAACGCAAAGGTATCCCTGTTAAAATTCCAGGTTTTCTGCTGAGAATTTTCCTAACTAGCAGAGCTAGAGCGCCTTGCTTCATGTTAAAACTTGTATTTAAAATAGGCCTAATGCATTGGGTGCCAGTGGCACATGTCTATAATCCTAGCTACTTGGGAGACTGATATCTCAGGGTCCCAGTTCAAATCCAGACCAGGCAAGAAAGTTGTTAAACTCTTTATTTGCCAATAAATCACCAAAAATAAAGCTGAAAGTGGAGCTGTGGCTCAAGTGATCGAGGGACAATGCCCCTCTGAGTTCAAGCCCCAGAAAAGTGTGTGTGTGTGTGTGGTTTTGTCAAGTAATTTTTTTTTTTTTTTTATGTTTGGGTCCGGTCGTGGGCCTGAACTCTGGGCCTGGGTGCTGTCCCTCAGCTCTTCAGCTCAAGGCGAGTGCTCTACCACTTGAGCCACAGCGCCACTTCTGGTTTTCTGGTGTTGTTTTTGGAGATAGTCTCACGGCCTTTCCTGCCCAGGCTGGCTTTGAACCACGATCCTCAGATCTCAGCCTCCTGAGTAGCTAGGATTACAGGCATGAGCCACCGATGCCCAGCTTGGTAAAATTTTTTAATTGAAGCTAAACTTTTGAAAGTGAATAATACTTGAGACTGTTTTTAACATTTTCTTTTTTAAGCAAAGTAAGTTTATAGAAGGCAATTAATCTAAAACAAATGATAGTTCCATATTAAAACAAAACAAAATAGAGCCACTTTGTATGGAGCCCGTCCTGAGGTCTGAGCTCAGCCCCGCACCTGCGCGGTTTGCTTCCTTGCCTGGTGCTCTACCACTTGAGCCTTCCTTCTGACTCAGCTTTTGCTGGTGGTTTTGGACCGGAGTCTTGCAGACTTTTCTGCCAAGGATAGCTTCATAACTAGGACTCATTGTAATGAGTAGAGTGAGGAGGGTTAAAGGCACGAGCCACTGGTGCCTGGCTGACTATAGATACTTCTAGTTAAATAATCACTTTTTCAAATTTTTATTTATATTCACGCTGGCAATGGAGTAAAATATATACAAAGAAATGATGTTGACTGAAATATTTTCTTTCTGCAAACCAAACATACAACTCACAAGCAGATTTATGTTAGAATAAAGTATGTCTTCGTCTTTCCTTCTGTTGATTTCTGGGTGTTTTCAGAAGGAGAAGATGAGACTGTTGTTTTAGCCCTGGAAGTTTCAGCTGGCCTCTTGATGGAGGTCCAAGTCCACCTGTTGTGTGACTACTGGTCATTTGCTGTCTTGCCTCGTTTGTTTATAAATAACTGAAATTATAATATTAGTTTTCTGTTCTAAACAGTCTTAAAATGTTAACTTCTTAACATTATGGGTTTTGTTTAAGAAGGGTTGTTCAGGTTCTATTTATGAGCTCACTCAATCTTCTGAGTACTAGTTACCTACCTACCTGTCCTGGAAATATCATTTGTACAGACCTAAGTCCACACCCTTGTCCCAGCCCAGTGCCAACGGGGTCCAGACGGAAAGCCTTGACTGCGACAGACTGAAGCAGGTAGGTGCTCGCCAGACCCGACATGCGACAACCAGATG